ATCATTAATCGTAAGTATTGAATTAATCCTAGCCCCAGGTAATGTTACAATTCATAACTTTTCTTAATACTTTAAACATTTCATAATTTATCACTTCTAATTACAATAAACAAAAATAACATCAAAATAGTTTTTTCCATTAATTTTTTTATGTTTTCAATATTTATGTTCAATCTATAGCCTTCCCCTTATAATTGTTTAAGCTTTAGGCTAATGCAAATTTATAAATGATTTTGATATCAAAAATTTTGGAATACATTTAAAGCCAGAAAAGAAACAAAAATTAAAAAGTCGTATAATGGAAATGAGAATAACAACACACAACAAATAAATTTTATTTCTGTTAAAATTAGGCAAACAAATTATTAATATTTATCTCCAGACATTACTAATAAGCAGACATAATGGAAGTAAATATTTGATGTTTTATTGAACTAATGAAGGTACTTATAAGCACTAACAATTTAAATTTGTTTAGTACAAAGCAAAGAACGTGAAGACTAATTAGTAAACAAATGCTTAACATTTTCTACGAGGTAATTCTTTTTCAACAATCTTAATATACAGGGAATTAATATTATAAATAGTGGAGGATATTATCAACAAACATTCCTCTGTTAATTAATAAATGATGGAAAATATATGTTTACGCGGTAATTAATTCACTTTAAACTAAAAAGCTTTTTGAAGCTTTGAAGTTTAAAATATATATAGAGAGAGAAATATATGACTATATTTGAACAAATAACCAGATAATGTCTATTTTTAGCATTTAAAACGAATTTTCTAAGAAATTATTTACTAAAATTGAGGTAGCTATACACAGATTTTATTTAAGATAAATATACAAACATGTTTTTTATTTAAACATCAATTTCTTGCTATACATCATGTAAATTATAAAGGGTATAAGTTAAAATTTAATTACATAACTCTCAAAGATTTGTGTTGTCATGTAAATAAAATGTGTATATTTATTACAGTAATAGCTAGAATTATTTTGAAAATATGTCTTAAATGCTAAAAATAGGCATTTACCATTAAAGAAAGGGTGACTAAATGGCACAGCAAACAGTAAAATGAGCTTCGAAGCCAGCAGACAAGTTGGCCCGAGTTGTATTTCAAAAGACAAGTGGAATCGATGTGTATTGGGATAAATCATCTCATAACAGCTTAAAATGTCTAGTGGAAGTTTTCTGTATTTTCTTTTCTCTAAGATACTCAAAAGTCTAGCCTCTATTCCTGGGTAAAAACTTTATTTTTTCCATTAGCAATACCATTTTACATATTCAAACACGGCTCCATAAATAAAATTATCCCTATACTAACGGATTACAGGAACCAAGTGCTAAAAAGGCAATGTCCTTGCATAATGAAAAGAAAATATCATATTTATGTAAGTTGAGGCCATAAATGCTTTTTTTTCAAAGATTACTAATTCAAATATTATTATAAATATCATGTGCCTATTAACTTAACTATTATAAAATTCACAAGAGTTTGGTTTGACGCTCTACGGTCATCTTATGCACACGAGGGCTAAGGAGACCGGGACCTACAGTTTAACGTGGATTCCGAATCATTCACAAACATTCATGCCACCGCCAGGATTCGAGGGCAGAAGCCTGTGGTACCAAAGGCCAGAACGCTAGCCAATTGCCCATCAGGCCGCAATAGAAAAGGGAGAAGTTGATGGGTATTTTTTTTTTTTTAGCAATTATCGAAAAAAATTATTTAAAATAAACAAGAAAAAAAAATAATATACAACAATACAAAAATAAGATTTTTTTTTTTTTATATAATAATACAAGGCGTCTGAAAATTTTTTGTAAGCTTTCAAAAATTCAATATTATTATATGGTCCTAATATTTTTTATTCAATAAAGAGATAATCTACCAAGGCTGTCTGCCTAATGGCAGATTTCGAGTCAGGAGATGTTTTTCTTTTTACGCGGCTAAGTGATCAGCTCTACACCCAACTCTCTAGAATCATATTAGACTGGGACCTACGGTTTAAAGTGGATTCCATACCGCTACAAACCCATGGCACCGTCGAGACTCGAATCCGAATCGAATCCTTGTGGTAATGATCGCTAGTTCTCAACCATCAGGCCCAATATAGAATATCATTACACTTAATTGGGCAGATTTTTTTTTTTGTATGGATATAAATATAAAAGTGATCATTAAATTAATTCTTATTACCTATTTAGAATCTGATGCTACTTATAGTAGTTATGATTCGTTGAAAAAATTAAAAGCTAACAATTATCACACTTATTCTACGCACAGAATAGAAAACATTTCAAATAAGATGAATCAAATGAAAAAAAAAAAGGCTAGAAAAATACTTTTTGAGGGTTACAAATGCCTAAGGTCTGAAATAAAAAAAATAAAAGATTATTTTAAAGATTGTTACAAATGTCTAACAATTATATACAGATGAATTAACTGACAGCTACCATTGGAAAAAAAGGGGGTGTTCATTCCAAATTGCGATGACATCGAGACAAAGTTGATTAACAGAAATGTTGGTCTCAATGCAAAGTAAACAATCTTCAAGAGTTCACGAGCTAAGCGTGTAGAATACAATCAATAAGATTACTCTTTACAATCAATAAAATTATTGATGAAAACTCTTTTTACTAAAAACTTCAATACTTATTATTTTGTTTTCCTTACATTCACCCTTTTTACAGTAAAATATAGTAAAGCAAAATGCTTCTTCAGACGTGGGGCAGCAAAAGAAACAGAAAGTTGTGTGTGTGGAAACTGAACAAATGATGCTGAACTGAAAGCTTTCGTGTTTATACTGGGAATGAACACGATAAATTTGTATTTCATAAAGTCCTTCCGTTGCATTCGAAGAAGAGGAGCGAACTTCCAAGACGTTCATTCCTTTGTGTGAGCAATGCAGCAAACCTCTCATAGTGCATTCTGGGTAACACTAAATTTGCTTCTTATCTGCCGTTTCGGTCCGTTAAAGTAACTGACCGAAAATAACAACAGTACTTTTTCCTTAACGAAAAGGATTTTATGTTATTTTATGATTATGATTTTTATTAGATTAAACTATTTCTTTTTAATTCCCAGACGTCCCTACACTTCTCCATCCGCTATGAGTGGGATGTGGCTTTTGGTGTTTTTAATCATCCAGGCTGGAAATCTCATCAGAGTGCTGAACGGATCCTTTCATGGCTCGGCCAGGTCAGACGAACCGACTTGCGAAGAACTGAGGACCTTCTGGAATGCAGTCAGTCAGTCGATGAGGATGAACGAATTCACCAATGAAATACCTCATACCGTTTGAGGTCTTCTCATACATTGATAATCATTATCAGAAATCGCAAAGACCTAAACCATTTGGACCTGTCAACGTATTCCAGGTAAAGTTACGAGAATTTTATAATATATTCGAATTTTTGTTTTCCATACCCATGCATATATGAATTTATCACCTACAATTATATATATTAGAATTGGAAGATAGGAATGCAGCAATATATCAACGATCGTAATGTAAATTGTTATCTACAAAAAAAAAAAAAATTATTTTCTAATATATTTTCTTAACTTCCATTATTCATTTTTTAATTAGTTTAAAATAGTTTATAAAAAGCTATGATTTTTTTCCTTAATCATATTTCTTTGCTAATGAGTAAAATAACGATATTTCAGTAAACAAAATAGCATATGTATTATTTTCAGTAATTTATAATTATATGAACTAATAATTTTATTTGAGTATGTTTTATTTTTGAGTAATGTTTATTTTTTATGAGAAATTTATAATTTATTTATCTGGTATTAAAAACTAGAGTACAATAACCCTTTGGTATGTTATGTGTTTTTATATTTCGAGTCCTTTTTTTTAGAAAAAAAGTCTCTCGATATAAATAAAGACATCGACTACATAACATTTTGTATAAAAGAGACTTCTGTAGATAAATTTATTTGAAAAAATGCTTAATATTCAAATAATTACGGATTGTATTCATGTTATCATACATGAATGAAAATGTCAATTATTTAAATTTATTTTTATTATAAATTATTATTATTGTTATTGTTATTCATAAAAAATCCTGAATAGAACATTTAATATCACAGAAAAAAAAAGAGAATTTCTCGGAAATTGTATACACATTAAATAAGAATTTAATCACAGTTCAATAAATTATTAAATTAAATGATGCAAAAAAATATGAAAGCATAGTAAAAAAAAAAAAAAAAAAAAGTCTTCGAAAAACCATGTTGCCATTCAGTATCAAATGTTTGATTAAATGAAAATCATATACTATGGTATATGATCATATAATATGATAATTGATGATGAAATGCAAACATTTCTAAACATCTTCATTTTTTCGAAATTTTTTTATTTAGAACGCAGGGATCAGGAATGCTAGACCGTCTGCAGTCCAAGAGTCTTTCTTGAGTCACAAGAACATAAGATGCGACCTAGCCAAGATTTGGACGGATTCTTCGGCAAATTTCACGAACCTTCCCGGGCACTTGGCGACTGGGAAACAAGCAATTCCATTTCCGGTCCATCGATGGCGCAATCCGGAACTAAAAAGAAAGGTGGGAGCGAATCCACGCATTTCCCTTCCTGGGGTGCTCCGGAAGAGGTCGGCATGTTCGGCAGGTTTGTCGACTTTGACGAAAATGTGCCCATCATCACCAGAGACCGTGGCCTGAAATCCAACACGGGAGGGTGGTCTGAGCCTCTGTTTTCGCCTCCGTCCTACGCAACTGGGGTAAGTTATGATTTAAAGAAAAACATAATAACTTCTTCAATTGCACAACAGCCCCTTGGTGGGTTGAGGCCGTCTGCCTACTGGCAGATTCCCAAGCATGAGATATTATCTTTTTACTGGGGTAGGGTTGTCAGCCCTACTCCAACGTTCCACAGATCATTTTTCCCAAACTGTAAAGGGGCAATTCAGCTCTAGACACAGTGATGTAGTGTGGTGGAGTAGTAGTCACATTAGATCGTCAACGGCCATACCATGCTGAATATATCGGTTCTGGTTCGATTACGGAAGTCAAGCATCATCGATGTGGTCAGTATTTGGGAGGGTGACCACCTGGGAACACCGCGTGCCGCTGGCATTCAAAATTTGGGGCCTGATGGCCGAGTGCCTAGCGCTCGATACCATAGATTTTCGGGTTTGAGTCCCAGCGGTGCCATGGATGTTTGTAGTGGTTTGGAATCCATTTTAAGCCGTAGGCCCCGGTCTCATAGGACCGTAAAGCGTCACAGAACCTACTCAGACTTCTCTCACCCACATCATTCCCAAACTGTAAAGAGGCAACTCAGCTCTAGGTACAATGATGTGATCTCGTGTAGTAGTAGTCATATTAGACCGGGACCTATGGTTTAAAGTGGATTCCGAATCTCTACAAGCATCCATGGCACCGTCGGAACTCGAACCCGAAATCTGAGACACCTAGCGCCAGATCTGAGGCAACTAGCGCGCTAGTTACTCGGCCATCAGACCCCAAACATAATAACTGCCTGCCTATAATCCACGGATTATACGTTAAAAAATCTTAGAATTTTTTTTTTTTGAAGGGAGGGGGAGGGGGCGTGATTATAGATTACAGCGTAATACACTGAAGTGACAAAAGTCATGGGATACCTCTTAATATCGTGTCAGCCCTCCTTTCGCCCGGCGAAGTGCAGCAACTCGACGTGGCATGGACTCAACAAGTCGTTGGAAGTCTTCTGCAGGAATATTGAGCCAAGCTGTCTCGATAGACGTCCATAATTGTGAAAAGCGTTGATGGTGCAGGATTTTGGGCACGAACAGACCTCTCGATGATGTCCCATAAATGCTCGATGGGATTCATGTCGGGCGATCTAGGTGGCCAGATCATTCGTTGGAATTGTCCAGAATGTTCTTCAAACCAATCGCGAACAGTTGTGGCCCGGTGACATGGCGCATTGTCATCCATAAAAATCCCATCGTTGTTTGGGTACATGAAGTCCATGAATGGCTGCAAGTGATCTCCAAGTAGCTGAACATAAGCCTTTCCAGTCAATGTTCGGTCCAGTCGCACCAGAGGACCAAGTCCATGCCATGAAAAACAGCCCACACCATTACGGGAGCCACCACCAGCTTGAACAGTTCCTTGCTGACAGTTTGGGTCCATGGCTTCGTGGGGTCTGCGCCACACCTCGAACCCTACCATCTGCTCTTACCAACTGAAATCGTGACTCATCAGACCAGGCCACGGTTTTCCATTCATCTAGGGACCAACCGATATGCTCACGCGTCCACGAGAGTCGCTGCAAGCAATGTCGTTCTCTCAGTAAAGGCAATCGAGTTGGTCTTCTGCTGTAATAGCCCAAGAAAGCCAAATTTCTCCGCACAGTTCTAACAGGCAAGTCCCTTGTACGTCCCACATTGATTTCTGTGGTTATTTGACGCAGTGTTGCTTGTCTGTTAGAATTTACGACTCTTTACAGACGTCGCCGGTCTCGGTCGTTAAGTGCAGGCGGTCGACCACTGCGCTGTCCATGGTGGGATGTTATGCCTGAAATTTCATACTCTCGGCACACTTTTGACACAGTGGATCTGGGAATGTTGAATTCCCTAACGATTTCCGAAATGGCATGACCCATGCGTCTAGCTCCAACTAACATTCCGCATTCAAAGTCTGTTAATTCCCGTCGTGCGGTCATCATCACGTCAAAACCTCTTCACATGAATAACTTGAACAGAAATGAAAGCTCTGCGCATTTATACCTGTTCTACGCGATGCTACAGCCATCTGAAAATTTGCATATTGCTATCCCATGACTTTTGTCACTTCAGTGTATAATCAATGGGTATTTTTTTCCCCTTTTTTTTGATATATTATTTTGGTGATTTATGATTAAAAATCCATTAAACAATTATATTTATTTCAGTAATAAAGCTGATAATGTGTATACGAGTAAGAACCATTATTGCGAAAGGAATGTTGTTATTCATTGTTGAACAAGCGGTATAAGCACTTCGTCGTATAGGTGCTCTGGTTAATTTTCAAATTCTTTCTCATAGATTGCAACACCAGGAAGGAATAAAAAGGATGGCTAAAATTTTTTCATTACTTAAGGCTCAGCAATTTTTTTTTTTTTTTACAGTACGTAATTGTATTTGGATAATAATAATCATTATTATTTATTTCTGTTTTTTGTCATTTTCTCGGGTATTAATATGCAAATTTTACTAAGTGTCAATAGTGATTTAAAAATTAGACATCTAAAAACTTTATAGCAGAAAGTTCATTAAGAGGAGTTTTTGAAATTTAACAAAAATACCCATTAATCAATTTTTTAAATTAACTTTACCATTGGTGGTAATATTGGTAAATATTGCAGAGGGATATACTTTCTTCACAACTGCGATACATTTTTTTGCCATGTTCTTATGATGAAACTATTTGAGTTAGATATTACATAACTCCCAGTCATAAATAATATAACAAACAGTAATAAATAATATAAGAATTTATACATTAATTAATTCAATATTTGAAATCGTTAAAAAATTTTCTAATAAATATATAGTATAAGTTTATTACATAAATTCTAGCTTTGAAAAGCGTATAAAGACTAGAATCAAGAGTTTTTATTTCGTACTTCAATTATGATAAGCAGATTATATTTTTTTCCTAAGTTACGATTAATTATGTCATACTCGAATATAAAATTCTCTAATAAAATATTTCTCTTTAATAAGACTTGTTGAGGAATATCTGAAATTTTTCCTTTTCCATCATAGATTAGGTTTTGATTTAGTTTGTCGCTATACGATCACTTTTTGCACACTTTAGGATAAATAAACCGGGAGCTACAGTTTAATGTGGATTCCGAACCACTAACAAACATCCATGAAACCGCCAGGATTCGAACCTGAAACCTGTGGTATCAAAGGCCATAATGCTAACCAATTGGCCATCAGACCGCTTTCCATTATAGACGTACAATATGAAGTTTACCTAGTACTGTGCAATTGTATTCGTAATTTTTCTACATTCATTATTTTTTTACACTTGGTTAATTATTTTTTACTTAATTGTTACACCAGCTTAATTATTTTTAATTTTTGCATTTAAATTTTAGGTCGAATTCTTTTTTAAAATATGATTATTTATGCTGATTTCATCCTTACGAATTGATCTCTTATTATTATTATTATTATTTCTTTTCTAAATTAATGCTATTCAACAATAAAAATGAGCCTTAAAACACAATGTAATAATTCATCTTTAGAGGTAATGGACAAAACACCATTTTGTTGCCCGAATAAAGCGATCTTTTTTTATGAAATAATTAAATCCCCGATAAGAATTACAGCTTGGGGATCTAAAACGCATGTCACTGAAGAAATTCTTCCAACGCCTCATTAAATTAGGAAACAGAAATTCTAATCTTTTGCACGCGAATTGACTTTCGGTTAACATCGTGTCGTTACATATCTGCGCTTTTATTTTTACCCTCCGGGGAACAATCTGCGGTTGTTTTAACACGTGATGTAATCTTCTGTTATTAAGATTCTTAATATCTATTTCTGGAGGATGATTTTCGCCTCACTGATGCTGCTGCGATTTGGGTTCGTCAAAAGATTGCGATAATTATACTAATTTCAATTATGACGCTCGGGTTCGGGGTGAGATGAAAGTTGTTTCTATCTTTGGACGTTCGTGACAGTGTTACTTCTCTTTCTCTTCTTAGCGTGCGCTTAATAACAGAAAATGTTTCCATTTCTGTGCGAAATCCTTTTTAATTTTCACCTAAAATAAGTGCTTTCTTTTTTTTTTTTTTTTTTAGATATAACAGTGGCTGCCAAAAAAAGTTGCATGTTTTTAGATTCCTCACACTATTTTCACAAAATGATAAAAATAATTTGACTTTTTTTTTGCATCGTTGAGCCGAAAATAACGCTAGAAGATTCATTTGCATAAATTATCAGTATTAGATATAACAGTGGCTGCCAAAAAAAATACTTACTTTATAATTTTGTTGCATGTCTTCGTTTAGATTCCTCACACTATTTTCAATGTCAGAATTTATGTAATAAATTCATATTATATATTCCTTAAATTTTTTTTTTTGACGATTTCAAGTATCGAACACGTTTTGAACCGATCATTATTCTGATGAAACTGACCAATTCCCATTCTATCAATGCAAATAGAAAGTGATGATAGCGTATCGAGAAGTTGCAGTCCCAAAATCACTGAATGGGGCAATAATAAGCAAAAAGGATTAGTCCCATCCACTTCCGTATCAAAAAAAATGGTTGCCAAACTTGTTGTCTTGATTCTCATATTGGAAGTTTAATTTCAATACTTACTTTATAATTTTGAAACTGCTCCTAAATTTATACTGGTGTACTAAGCTTAAGCAAATACTTACTTTTTTTTTTTCGTAACTCCACAAGAAATCACTTGGGAGATATGAAATATGTTGTACTTAAAGGATGAAGAAAGCCCACTAACCAAAAATCAATGGAATGCATACAGTATGAAGGCATTCTCAAAAAAGGACCATTGATACAAATGCTTGTCTGTCCAAGAAGGAGAATAGCAAATTGATTTTCCTTGAAAAGAGATATAAATCCCCCTTAACTGCTATATTGCTTAACACTGTCTCTTCATATTCAACATTTGATTATCAGACAGTTTCTCATTATTCATTTGTATACATACTTAATGAAATATATCCATTCCTCATTAAACATATATTTATTTTGTTTGGATATAATCTTGCAAAAGATATTTCCTCAAAGCACTCCGCACGAGTTCGGTGGAATTTAAATCAGAGGATTATGCTGGCCAATCTATTCTAGTGATATTTTCAATTTTTAAAAAACTTTTCAACAGCACAAATCTGACGTGACCTGGCATCACCATCCATAAAAACAAAAGTATGATATCTTAGAATAGATGCACCAAAAAAGGATCACTTGCTGGCAGTAGAAATCCCCGCTAACAGTACCTCCGTCGACAAATTGGAGCTCAGTCCGTCATCATAATGGCTCCCCAAATGTGCACGCCAGGACCATTATAATGGTCTCTTTCCTTAATGTTAATGAGATAAAAACCTTGTCCTCATC